TATATATATATATATATAAATGAAGAGATTATGAATACATTAGTTCTCTCATGAATATTTAAAAATGAACAGATGTTCATAGAATGAACATGATGATTGATAAGAATCTTAAATTAAATGACCAAGATAGAAAATTTAATAAAAAATTCTAGTTAGAGTATTATTCTGTTGAGGAGTGTACACGTATATTTATATATCCGAGTATATCCTGATTGTGGGGAAATAGGCTGACTGTACATTCCGCTTCACTCAACCACCTGCCCGTATACCTGTCGGCGACATCAAACGCCTAGTTCGTATCCAATTAAGGAAAACGCGCGAAAATTGGTGCCGACGTCGTTGTTTACAGCATACCTCAGGCGTCTCGTCCAGCAGTAATATGCTAATGAGTACGGATTTGCATGGCAAGGAATTTGGGAAAGGGAATGATGGGGAAAGAGAGCGAAGCAATAATGTTGCTAACCGCAATCGTATTTTGTTCAATCTATCCGGCGCTGATTTAATCACGTTTTCTCCTGCACTCTCTCTACTCCCTCTGCACCTGCTTTTGTTCTACTCGGGCGTTTTTCTCGCGCTATTTTTAGGGGCGGTAGGACGCAGGCGACGTCACGTGACGTCATTAGCGACGTATTCAAAGATGTCCGAGAGTGGCACGTCCCAAATAAGCGGCCCGCCTCTGTTTACAAACTGACGAAAACCGCAAATTGCAGTTTTTTCCTTCTATCCTACAATACATTGTTACGCCTTACATGTCTGTTACTTTTCCTTTTATATCGTATAATGTATAAAAAATTCATACGTTAGTTATAAGTAGGTTTCTCAAAAGAGAAAAGTACTTTTTTTTACTATATTCTACTATGTGTATTATCTATCTAATTATAAGGATCATTTGCTTTAGCTTCGCCCTGTTGTTTTAAAATGTTAAAACATCTGAGAAATCATCGCATGCGAGCTTTGGTTGAAAAATGTTTATTGTATAGTTTCGAAACCCGCATTGTCAGAGAGATTTTTATCAAAATGACAAAGCACTTCATCGGTTGGGGGGTGGAAGGGGAGGTGGGCGTAGGTAGCATACGTAAGGGAGACAGATAGATACGAAATGAGGTAGGGGAGATAAAAAATTATGGTAAGAGGGTTGTAGAGAAAGATCGACTAGTTTTTTTTTTATAAACGTCCTTTCGTCTCAATAAGCCTGAAATAGTTGGAATAGGTGGCAATAGGTAAAGAACATTGTGAGAATTTATAGTAGGGAAAGAGAATTAATAGAGAATAGTAGAGTGTCGGCCATTTTTTTCTATTTCGAATGGCGATAATTACTACGCGTCGATAATTGCCGAGTCGGCTCGTCGAATGACTTCTGTCCCTACTCGAACGGCAGAAATTGCCATAATTTTCGCATTTTCGCCGCACTAAATTGCTTTCGCTCCTTCTCATGCTGTTTTCCACCACTTTTTATAGGGATGGTAGCGGTACAGTACTGTCCCTTCGTTTGTTTATTCAATTGAATTAGATCAAAATATTTCCCCTCCCCCCTCCAATACTTCGCACCCCTACCATTATCATTTCAGTTCGAAATTTTTATCCACACCTTTGCAAATGTCTACCGTTTCTCTTGACGCAGTAAAGTGAGAATTGTATGAATATTCATAGAATTTAATACGATTAGGGCGTCTATTTTCATTTCTTTTCTCCCTTTTTTTTTAATTTGGAATTAATCAGAGATTAAGTCGTGTTTATTATAAAATGCTAATAAATGTTTATTGCAGTAAAAGAAGGACAGATAGGTGGATATATATATATATATATATATATATATATATATATATATATATATATATTTTTAGATACAGAGAAATCGGGGGAAGTATGATAGACAGAATCTTTCTAATAGTTGCTTAATGATGGATATATAGCGTAGCCAATATTAACTCCACTGTACATGGTTGTACGCAATGAAAATACTTGAAATTCCTTTTCCAATTTATTCCAATTAAGACTTATTTATTTAATAAAAAGACTTAAGTGATAGTTATTTCCTTAATGATTCTTTTTACCGGTTTTTATATAATAATTAACATAAAAGACCTTATATATGATAAATATATGTGCTAAGACTTTAAATTCAAATATTCAATTTATCGTTGAATTGATTTCAATAGGTAGCTGTTTTTTTCTATTATTTCTGACTGTATACCCACAAAAGTTTGTTTATTTACGGCTTATCCTTTTTTTTATGATTGAAATTCTTTAAATCCTATCCTTTCTTTTCCATTTAAGGTTGTCGAGTGTTTAAATTAGCTTTTAATTCGGGTTGTTTTAACTAATCTATTCCCTCTTGCCCTTTGTCCATTTTGTCATCACTGACCTAAGATTCGAGTGAATTAATTACCCTATATAACCCATCTATATATTAACCCTTATAACCTCGAAAGTTAACCCTCGACTAGCCGGCGGCTGAATTATGAGCCCGTAATATACGTGGCACATTTACCTGAGGGCGGTCGGCATCATTTTAATTAATTAGAATATTGATAAAATATTGGCGAACAGGCACTAAAGTTTGTCAGCCTATCAACAAGAATTTGTGGGGCAAAGAGAAGAGAAAGAAGGAGAGAGAGGGAGGGGGAATAGTGGGCGGTGATTGATAAGAGGCAGTAGCGTGGTTACGGGTTCCAGACGGCTACCTAACTAGGTCTTCCATGCGAAGACTAATGGCGGGGAAGAAAGGAATGTGTCAGATAGCAATTTATGCGCGCATGAAGGGCCATGAGGTCAGTGTATTGCATTGTAATCAGCGAGCAGATATGGGAGCCGAAAATTTCAGCACGCTCATTCTTTTTAGGCTTTTAACCGTCTATTATTGCGAAATCTTATATAAAAAATAATAGCAGAGTAGGACCAGTAGCTATTTAAACATACAGTTGTATGTAAATCTATAAAAAAAATTCTCCTAATCATTTTTTTCATTCAATATGCTATGTATATACTGTATATATAGAATGTTGTATATATGACAAAAAAAGAGAGAAGAGTAATCTTTCGATGAAGATTTACTACAATATAATATCAATGTAACAATATGGGTATATACGTGTGTACTAGTTGTTTAGGTATTTTTTAAGTGGATACTATAAAAATACTTTCTCTCTTTGAAGGCTTTTTTTTAATTATCTTTTGCATTCTTTTCTATGTTTATAATGAAAATATTCTGATTTTTTTATTTTCTTTATTTCATTCTCTCCTCACACCTTCCCTTACCTTCGCCCGTTCGTTCGTCTCCTCTCTGCTAATGCATGTAAACAACAGTAGTATAATTTTTGAACAGTTGAATGCATTTGACAAGTAAAATATTTCTTCTATCTTAGAGGACGGATCTTTATTATTTTTCTCCCTTTATAACAGTCATCTGTGTCTACTTAAAAGAAAACGATTATATACAGGCCTAAAAAAATTCTAAATCTAAGTAAACAATTTGCTCTTCCGAAAATCTTTCTTTCTTTCCAAAATATTAGATTAAATAGTGAGGAATATATATTAGGAGAGATTATAAATAGAAAAACAACTAGTAGATGTATATTTTGAGCGAGATGATTACTGCGTGTGTTGTAAACGGTTATAACGCTCTAAAGCGATCAGTCTTTTTTTTTTCTATTTAATTTTACTTGTATAATGTATACATAGATTATATCCAACTGTTTTTTCCTCCGTTTTTTTAGCTTTAACTCTTATTGATAAAAAAAAGGTGTAAAGAACTATTATATAGATACTATATATACTGTATATATATATATAAATGGAACGGAGGTTGTGAACTAAAGAGGAACGGATAAAAGGATAAAATAATAATAATAATAATGTAATAAGAAAGAAAGAGGGTAGAAGAAGGGAAGTAAGAAGTAGTACGGATGATAAAACAGAATCGTTACATACAAAAAAAATTGCCACCATATATATATTCATCGATCCATTATATTGTATATTTTTCTAAGTGCTCATAAGCGGCCATAAGGTCACCGTATTGCATAATCAGTCAGTATAATTTTTGACAGCCAATAAGACTCGGTTTACCCCTAAAGTCATTCCTTTTAAAAGGTTTCTTTTAAAAGTTTTTAAAATAATATTAATAATACCTAAAAAAAAATAAGTTGAAATAGGACAAATATTTCGATTTAGTAAGAAAGATTATTTTACCTTTATATATATATTATATATATATATATATGCCTACATATCTATAATATATATTATACTAAAACGAGGCCTATAGTTTGTATGTATTATCCTCTACAAATACTCTTTACGGTCAATATGGAAAATAAGGCGTAAAATGGGGTGATAGAAATTAAAAATGAACAAAATACATATTTATATAAAATTGTAACAAAAATAGTAGCTGACTATGTATTATTTTCACGTACATGTATATTTTCTCACCCTCAGTGTTTGCTCGGTCGATTTCTAATCGATCTCGCATCGCTTGTACACTAACTAAGTTAGCCTTTAGGCCTATATATATTGCTCATTTTGTACATTTTTGTATATACACTTGAGTCATATGTATATCCTATGTATTAAATGTATTCGCCAATAGAGAAACCGCGTATAATGTGTATTTGCGCTAATGGACTAATGAATTATAAAAGAGTTACCTCTCTCCTATTGCATGACTACCTGCGGATTGACAGATCGGGTGACGGATGAATGTATTACATTGTATAGACGACTACCGTCTGTTTATAAATAGTAACCGATTACGCGACACTTAAAATTGTTTTATTAAAGAAAATTAACTACTTAAAGAGAAAAAGGAATAAAAAATAAGCTAAGAAATTAAACTTACAGCCGTAGAAATTGTATAAATTTCTTATCTCGTAGTTTAGTTCATTTGATGATGGTATTGAAAGCGCCTCCTTTGTTTAAATGGCTTTAGACTAATCAAGCGTCGTACACCCGTTTAAATCGAAACCAGTTTAAGTTAGTTGCTACTTAAAAGATAACTTAGTTCATTCTACGTCCTTGATACTTTCCCTTTAGTTTTACGAGCGATCGTTTGGCATTCTTTTACTAAGCTCTTCGCTGGCTAGCAATTAGTGCGAATATTTCGTCCGACTTCAAACGACGGTAAACTGTTGGAGGAAATCGCGATTTATAGGTTTGAGAGATTTTTTTTTTAAAGTTTATGTGACGTTCAAAACGAGCGCGTTCGATTATTCATTTTGCACGTTTTGCATCTGTCCCCTACACCTGTCAGTATTTAGCAGATGTTTGAAACAATACGGGAGCCTATGATAATTAGACGCGTTTGTAAATAAATCGAATTGAGGACATGCTATCGATCGAAAAACGCTTTCGCTTTCTGACCTACTTTCTATTGTAATCTGTCACAATACTAAAAAATGGCGACTGATACTTTTTTTGTTGTTTGCTGTGTGAATGGCCGATAATCGGGTCAGTGGTCGGTTTGTACCTTCATTCTCATTCGCATACTATTCGCTTTTACATGATTTTTACATGCGTGATATAGGCTGATATACAATTTGCATACGATATTTCAAACGCGTACCGAAGGTTAGATAGTCCACTATAACATAAAAGCGAGCGTGACGTCACGCAGGTATGCTCAACGCTTATTGGCCGACAGTGGCTCCGCCCTGAACGGTGATTGGTCATGGTGGGTAAGGTAACATCAATAAGGCTCTGGGCTTGTACGATATTAGGCAAAGAATAGCTCGACCGAGAGTGAATAGCACGTGTTCTCTGTTCTTTTTCTTCTATAAAGACGGTCTTTTATTCCAACAAAGTTGCATTGTAGCCAGTTGAAAAGGAAGTGAAGAATATACAGTCTCTAGAAGAATGATGATGGAGACTAGCCATCAAACGGATTTATCCAAATCCCTGCCACCTCCGCCAGCACCCCTCCAACTACCAACTTCGATGGGAATGCATCCTCAGACTTCACCAGCCTCAGGTGGAGGATCTCCTCCTATGCATAACAATAATGCCTCAAAATCTAATCAGGCTGATAGAGATCGTGTAAAACGACCCATGAATGCTTTCATGGTTTGGTCAAGAGGACAGAGAAGAAAAATGGCCCAGGAAAATCCTAAGATGCACAACTCAGAAATTTCTAAGCGATTGGGCGCCGAATGGAAACTACTGTCAGAGAGCGAAAAGAGACCATTTATCGACGAAGCGAAAAGACTCAGAGCGATTCATATGAAAGAGCACCCTGACTACAAATATCGACCACGTAGGAAGACTAAAACTCTAATGAAAAAGGACAAGTACGCTATACCTATGACAGGAGGGTTACCAGGCCAACAAAGAGACATGTATCCGAGCATGAACGGTTACCCGGGCATGAACGGTTATCCGATGTCGATGGCCGACCCTTATCAACAACATGCCGCCATGACCGGCCAGATGATGCCCCAGTATCCCGGCTACGGAATGCCGACAACGCAGATGTCGACCTCTTCTAGCTACATGAATGGAGCGGGTCCAAGTTATACCTACTCTATGGCACCTTACGCCGCTCAGCCACCTCTGGCCCACCAGAATCCTAACAGCTCACCAACGGCAATGATTAAACAAGAAGACGGATCGCCAAGCCCAACTTCGGGCGGTAGTACTCCAGGAGCCAGCTCCAATGGTACTCCAGCTAGACCTTGCCAAGGCGACCTTAGGGACATGATAAACATGTACCTACCCGGCGCTGAAGCTAATCAACGTCAAGCGGCTGCCGCCGCATCAGAGTACGCTCGCATGCAGCAGATGATGGTCAACTATCCGACTACGTCGTCGCATTCCGAATCGACCGTCCCTCTAACGCATATGTAGGTAGGCCGAAAAATTGGTTTTTTCGACGACGCTCAAAAAAGTGCCACTCTCCTTATATATATATATATATATATATCTTTCTCCTGACCCTGCCCAATTCGCCCTTTTAAAAAAAACGAATCTCCCTTTTTCCGGACTTGTGTACGAATATTGCCAATCTCAGAATACTCTATGTTTTACTAATTTTTTGTTTTCTCTCTCTTACCTTTAAGTTCTATTTTTTTTTAAACCGAAGTAGAGAGTTTGTAACTCAACTAATCTCCGTGTGCATATTAAAACGCTGCAAAAAATTCTGGGCGTCATTTTTTTTCCTTTTTAAATCGAATATTCTCTTTTTATATATATATATATATATATTATTTAGATATCTATATCTATATACTTGTACATATAGACATAGGATTTTATACCAAAAGAGAATAATTCAGAAATTTTAAGAAAACTTATGTTTTTTCATTTCTTTTAAAAGAGCGTATATACATTGTCTTTAGTAATTTTTTTAATTATGGGGGGAAGTAAGGCGGTGAAAAAATTCTTCTCGGGATCTTAAAAAAAATATTATCAATTTTCACATTATAGAAGACAGTATAGCGGAGAGAAAGAAAATATATGTTTTTTTTTTTTTGCACTTTAACTAGGTTGAGAGAGGGGATAGGGGAATTTTTTTTTCTTTATTTTTAAAGATAGAGTCAAAAAAAAATTAACAAAGGAAGATCTATAAAATGCCATGAAAAAGAGGAAAAGAAGAAGGATGGAAAAATTACACACAAAAAAGGGGGAAAAAGAATGTCCAAAAAGTTAAAATTTTTAAATTTTTGCAGCGTATTATAACTCGGTTGTTTCCTTTTTTTTACACATGTAAATACGTATTATCTAATAATTTCTGAATGTCCGCACTATAAGCGTGTTTTGTATATATACATATATACTACGTTTACCGTTTTAACGACGTGCGTCCGTTGTACAGTGATTTTTTTTTTTGCGAATGCGATATATCTTTCTATTATATTATCGAGAGCAATTGTAACAAAAAATAAATGTTGAACGTTTTTTTTCTTATAATTCATATGTACGATTCCTGGCGTGCGCTTTTGAAATATTCAACGAAATCGTGTCCAATGTTAAAAAATGTATGGTATTCTAGACAGGTGATGCAAATTCACTATTTTCTAGGTACCGAGACGACCTGGGTTTCTTGAATTATTCGACGAACATGGATTAAACACACTCGAAAATTTATATTGCGTGATCTTACACTTATTCTATTATAAAATGTATAATCGAAATCTTTCAAAGGCTATTGAGGGCGTTGTTCTAATCCCTCAAACCCGAATATCTTGGAATTACGAGCTAGGTGCAACTCTAGGTGGCGTATTGACGGGGGCCTAGGCCTTGTAAAATCAACGGACCGTTGAAAGCGTTGTATTATTGAAAAATGTTCATATTGTTTTTTTTAACATAGGAAGAAAAATATAATAGTTTTTTTTCCAACATTATTTTAAACTTTCTCTATAAGTGACGCCCTTAGCTCACGCCTCACTTATTCCTGAGAAAAACACGAAGAGATAAGGGAATTGCCAGCGAAATTAATTTAGGCCTAGTTAAGCGTGTAAAACGTTCTCCTCACGCTTGTTTCCTCTTTTTCTCCTTTTCTCTCTTCCCCCTCCCCGCTTTTTTCTCTTCTTCTAAATAGTCGTATAGAGCGAGTTCATAAGCTATTTCCAACACGTAATAACATACACAGCATAGTATATAAAGTCTGAAAGAATATTCTATTCCCCTTTCCGTTTTGCCCTATCATCCATCTCATTATCAAATATATATCCTTCTTTTTTTACTTAATAAAAAGAAGTAAGATTCATAATGATCGTTGCGAATAGACTTAGCAGAGGCGTAACTATCAACAAAAAGAATTGTTCGAGGGACAAGACATAAACTGACGTTGACTTCTCTAGAGAGAAGAGAAGCGGGAATCTGTCGAAAAAAAATCCCGTATAACCAATTTGATAACATATTAGCGAGAGTTTTATTCTATTACTTTCAAATGTCTATTTAAATAATGATGATTATAGAAAAGGAAAGATCAAGTAAACGTGTAATGCTAAGTAAAAATATATTGAAAAAGTCGGTAAAAGTGGTAGGGATTTGGTATGGAAACCCTTTGGCACCAACAAGACGTACGTTTTTATAGAACATAGGAATGTTGATTAGTATTGTTTTTATAGGCACTTACTAGGGGCAATTTTACGACGCATTGTGTACACATTACATTAGAATGTAGGACTAGTCTATAAAGCTATTACTATATGCTATAAATCGGGAGCTGTAAACGTTAAAGGTTGAACATATATAAACTTATGGATATAGCATATATATATACATATTAGATTATAAATCTATGAATTAAAATGTGTATTCTCCTAGATTTACCACTCAGTTTACTGCTTATCCATACAAATTATGATACATTTTCTATTACGCATGCGCATTTGTGATATTATATATTAAACTTGATGGTTAGGTGTCCGAATCACGATAATTCATTGAATACGATAGGAAAAGAAGAAATACCTGAATTTTTAACAAATATATTAAATCCCTTATGCGTCGTCACGTTAATCTTTTAACTCCCACCGTTCCCACCCCCTCTTTCGAATATTTCACCCACTTATTCTCTTTCAACAGTATCTCTCTATCAAATCGTAAAATTCCTTCCACATTTTTTTTCAACGAATATATAACTTTTTCATATCTAACTTTAATTATTCAAATAAGATATCTAAAACATCTAAGTACTGTGGAAGAATCCTACGGCATCAATATAATGACGACGCAGAGAACTCTATACATTTATGTATAGCTGGGCATGTATAATTAAACGACCCGCACCGGCTGCCGTTCAAAACATCTGTACACCACCGCGTTATTGTTGCCCGACTCGCGATAAAACGTTAACAGGTTGTTAGAGCGAACGAAGGTGGGCGAGACACACAACGTAGATATGAACATAACAATTTTGTTACCTAGTAAAGTCATATTTAAAAAAAAAACTACTGTCATTTTAATAAGTACACCATTTTCACCTCTGCTTTTTACTCATTTGAATATTATATATATTTATATATAATACGCAAATAGTCTTTCTCTATTTCAAACCGTTTGAATAATTTATTATGGAATATTCAAAAAATGATACAAAATTATAAATTTGATAACAATTGAATTGATTATTTCAATAGGCATATACACTGTATATAAAATATATCTATAAATGTAGATAATTTATATTGTATTTATATGAATATATATGGATACTGTATATATAAATTTAGATATACAGTAAATGTAAAGCGTCTCTTTTTTGTTGTATGTCCTTTAATATTGTACTTTATTTTGCTGTATGTCTACGAATAAAATTTTTTAAACATATATGAACAATATTTTAAATCAATGTAAGCCTAGCCAACTTCTACCGCTGTGTGTCGGGTCAAGAACCTTTAAAGTCCAGCCATGACTGTTCAAGCTGCCTGAACGTAGCGAGAAAAAAATTGACTGCTCTCGCCCCGGATCGATAAGACATGCAGCGGGTGCGAAAGCTTGTTGACAGAGTCGGCGGTTTGTCACCACTTTTCTCTATCTCTTTTCCAATTTTATTCCCGGTTGTCTTTCGCCACAGGGCGTTTTGGACTGTGGGCACTACCCACCCATTTCTCCACGCCTTGTTCCGGTTTCCATCCATCCCGGTTTGACCTGGGATATATGGGTTATAAGTGGCGGGTATCAAACGGCTCGCCGGATTCGACGCCTTACTCGCATAACGCTTAATTTTCGCATCGATCCCGTCATACAAGGGATCGATGTGTCAGGATTTAATGAAAAAGAGTTCAAATTAGATGGCGAAACTTTGGTAAGAAGAATGAGAATTGAGAAAGTCATTTGATTGAACGAGATTTTTTTTTGAGAGGGAGAGAGAGAGAGAGAAAAAGAGAGAGAAAGACATACAGAGAGAGGGACAGAGAGAAACTTTACTCTTTCACCCCTTGCTTCCCTGGGCCCCCTTCCATTTTTTTAGGCTGTTATTTAGTTTTCAGATTTCAGCCGCACCTGAATAAGCCGAGAGATGTAAATGTTCAAGTGAAATTCAAGCTTTGTCAACTGTGTTCAAACTAGTCTGTTGTCTCACGCTGTTTACTTTTCGTGTGTCTATGTGCTTAACACAGACGGGAGGGCGGACGTTGTCGATAAAACGGGACGTGGTCTAGACGGTTCGGGTGACGCTTCCTTGGTGAGAAACGCCGGAAGTCCAAGGCGTTTTTTTCCTTTTCCTTTTTATTGACCACATACACTCACAGACATTTATAAATTCCACATATAACTAACAGTTTTTCTATCAAGCCTTTATCTTACTACGTATTTAGTAGATATGTATATTTATATAATTAATACTTGTTTGAAATGCATTGTATGTTAAAAGTGTGTGTTTAATACTTGGAAGGAGCATATGCAGAGGAAGTTTAAGATTGTAGGCTTATTTTATGATAAATGATTTTCTACCATTGAAGCATTAATCATATTTTAGATCGTTCGATAAAGCTTGGTGAACATTTTTTTTTATATATTCAATACCTCTTACCTTCAAACTTATAATAACAAAAATAATAATAACAATGATAGTAATAATAATGCTAATGCAAAAAAAACCGACGGTTGAAATTTACTAGATTCCTTTTAAAAATTTGAATGGGTAATTTAAGGATTTACTACTAGGCTATTTCTAGGAGGCTGAATAAAACTATAGGCTTACTATATTTGATTTTGTACATTCAAGGTTAATACATATGTAAATCAATGAATGTAGAATGCTTAGTGGGCAGTTTATTAAGTAAGTAGGATAGAAAAAAAGAAGGGAAAAGCGATTTATATTTAATGGATATGTGCATAGGCTGATTTATCGTAATGGGGAATAGAATATGTAATTTAAGCATTAAGCAAGTTATCGATGTTAGGGTATGCAATTATCAAGTATTTACATTCCTAAAAGAACAACATTTTGGTTAAATATACAAATATACAAGACGTTATTTTACATTAAAAGTATAGGCATATTTGATAGAATACGAAACTGTAGGCAGTGAAGCGTTAGACAGGTTTTAGATAAGAGCGACAAAAATTACCCCTCCTAAGAATCTATATAGAGTTTTTTAAATGATATAAAACAACGTCATTCCATTACAAGCAATCTATTTCTGCTAAACGATGATTTTTTATTGGATGCTTTTTTTTGTATACTTTTTTTATTTTTTCGGGCATTAGATGTCTGTCGCATAAAAATTGATATTTCTTGAGAAAGAACTATCAATGTTACCCAGTATAAACAAACAAATAAATGTACATAATCAACTAGAGAATATATATTTATATTAACTATTTATTAAATATACCTCCTACTCTATATCTAATGAATAGGAAAATCGAGTGAATATTCATTCAACCGATTTGACGTACTCTATACGGTGTGGAGTAAAAAATTGCTGGACATTAGGCGTCTATTTATAGCATGAATTAGAAAGGAAAGGGCAAAGAGGGGAGAATATAAGATATTTGACAGAATATAAAATTGGGATCGGTTAAAACAATAAAATACGTATCGGTTAGTTTGTTTATACCCTTCTAGTAACGCCACGAGAAAAATTATATAGGTCTGTTTGCGTTCAATTTTTTCCACCGGTTTGAGCCTATACATTCGTGAAGACGGAGTGAACACGCATTCAAACATTAACCAGGTCATGTCTAAAAGCTTCTTGTTTAACAAGTCAACGCCGGCAGGCTGTTGTTTTTTTCTCGAAACTCTCGTTCAACTTTTATACATACTGTGTATATCTTTAGTTGACGGATATATTATCACAGACCTATATATTTTGTACATATAGATATAAAAATACAGTGTATGTTCTTTACTCGAATGAAGTCGAAGATATTTGAACATGTATATATGCATATGGATTGATATAAAGTTATAAGTATGATGGCATATATCTACATATATAAACAAAATTTTATATAAGACAAGTGTTCTTGTATATCCAAATATAAGGAGATATATATATATTAAATGTATATTTATACTTGTATAGCGCATATTTATATTTAAATAAATGGATACAGTTTATCATGTAAAACCTTAGTGACAATAGTTACGCACTTGCGCTTTTAAACTTATGATTTCTGTAAAGAACCAAAATGTATTTTTTGCTCTATGAATAAACTATATGTACATGGTATACAACACACACATATATATATATATATATATATATATATATATAAAATACAATTGCGACTCATGAACAAGCTGTGCCTACTGATCGATAACTGCAGAAAAAGGAAATTCTACAGCTTCGTACAAAAACTATAGGCCTACGATATTTTCAAGAGGGGAGAGGGAAGGGGGGAGAAAGGGGGTTGTTTGATACAGGTGTTTTTGTTTGAGTTCGGGGGAGAAAAGGAGTAGGATAAGCCGAAGGAAAAGATTAGTAGACAGGAAGAGTTTTGTTAAAAATAAAAGAATGTTGTTTCATCCAGTTACCAGTTTTGGTTATTGATAGACGATTATAAATATTAATGTGCTTTTTCAAAAGTATAGCATAGGTTAATGTTTATGTACTTTCAACGTTATTATAAATGAAATAAAGTCTCCTCGATCTATGATCTACTGAACGAAAATTTTTGAAGAGTGCGACGCGTTAGTGTAGTATTTCTTCTAAGCAAAGGCAATGTTTATTCAGAAATGATTGCTCAAAATTCTGTGCAAATAACGGCGAACGAGAGAACTGCAAGCGCAATACCGCACTTTGCATACGGATCGGTCAATATTCGCCTATTACGTGAATGGAGGAGACGTTTCCCTTTTTTTTCTTTTCTATTTTCGCACATTGCCACTAGAAAAGAATCTTGTTTACGTTTACGGTATTCGTTCAATATATAGGTTTGGATTAGTGGCTTAGAAAATGGATTTAAGTTAGAATCGACTGCAAATGCTCTATTATACAATACAGATTAATATATAGAATACTAGTGGTATTAGTAAAGGTATATTAAGTTCAATATAATTTATACACTACAGTCATTTTCTATGTACATAGTATGTATCTTTCCTTCTTCATCTCAGTCTATAAATAGTTTCAAAACAATTTATCAATCTTTGCGTACAGAAGTATGGATAGTTTTAAAAGAGATAAAATATAAAGAGACTATGTAGTATAGATTTTTACGCATTTTATTATATTCACTTGTAAATAAATTAAGCAGAGTTTTGAAAAATTCTACTTTCACAGAATGTTTAATCGCTTCACGTCTTAGTATGGATTATACATTAAGCTTGAACAACTGCAAATTCAATGCTTGTGCGTTGTACATATATATACATATAATTGTCGATATTCACCTGTTACATGAAAAAGTTAAAGATATTTTTCTGAAATATATATGTATATAAGGTGGATTAATTAAATAAATAACTGTAATAATAGTAACAATAAGTTTATTGAAATAATAAGAATAATGATAATAATTAGGAATAATCGTGATAATATATATATATATATATATATATATATATACTATATATACTAATATATATATGTTTGTTTAGGTATGTGTCTATGTACAATTCTCCTTGTTAATTAGATGCATTTTTACTATAAAAGATACTTTCTTCAATAGTAAAGAAGAAATATAACTGCAGAAAAATAAGATATATATTATATTAATGCTGAGGTTCACGTAACCGACGAAAGGATTAAAGTGGTTTTTGAATGGAATTAGTTAGACATTGATCATTTTTAATATTCATTTATTTGCTGAATATTTTCGCGAATATTTCTGCCTAGATCTATTGAGAATTGATTATTAGGCGTTCGCCTATTATACATTATTAGTTCGGCGGCGTGCTTAAATGATGTATAGTTTTTGATCAATATGTAAGTTATGGATTAGCACAGTTTTGCATTATATTCGTGCCTCTCATCTATTTGTGCAACGCTTCTGCATGATTTCAGACTTTGTCGTCTGTTTATAGGCGGATTAAGGGAATAGATTATACTACCACTTCTTTCTTTTTCTAATTTATTCTTCTTCATTTAATTATACATTGTGCGTCGGTTATACATTATAAACTAGAAACAAGGACGTGTTTATAACCGGAAATAAGATGAAATAATTCTATAATATTCTCTAAATAAATCTTTAAAACATACACACACAGAATATCCATACTCTT